ACCAAACGCGATGAGCGGGATCACACGGCAAGCTCGGCCCGCCCCATGCCCTCCATGGCGGAGCCGCGCTCTGCAACTGGGACGTCCTCGCGAGGGCACTTTGGGCCGGGCGCTGCCTGCTCGACAATTCGCTCTGTCATAGGGCCCACCGGCGTCTCGGGGGTGGCAGCGGCGACGGGGCGCTCGCCTGTGCGCGTGTTGGGAGCAGCCGCCGATGTTCAGTCGTTCTAGCGATCCAGTTTTTGCCGCAGTAACCGACTCCACGACAGGTGCACAGGTGGATGACGCCTCGTCTGATGCACCGGGATTTCCCAAACCCACCGCGGCGCTCACAGCAGGCGAGTCAAAAGCTGCGCCGCCTCTGTCCGCCCCACCCAGCCTCCAAGCCCCCACTCATCACTCATGCCTGTTCGCTACGCCTGGAGCAAGAGGGATTGCTGCCTACAAATCCGCAGCCCTCACCTGCAAACCTCGTCTCTGTTACGTACGTCTTCTCAACAGGCCGGTGTTCCAGGACCCTGACGGTTGGCGGTTGGTGCGGTTGTTGAGCCCAGGGGCTGGCGACATCTGCCATTGAGCCTGCTGACCCATCGCTCCCCTGGGTAACGCGCTTCCTGTTACTAAAGCCCTGAACCACCTGTGCAAAATCAGCAGGACACATACCCACTGCATCGCACCGGGGGGCCAGTCCGTGCAGAAAGACATATGAGGTCAACAAACGCTCCATGCCTCCTCGCCCTGCGCTAAACGGTCCCCTAACACAGACCAACCCCGCGCCCCCTTCATCACCCACGATGGCACCCCTAGCCCGCGCCCTGCAGCCGTCACGCACCTCTCCACGCGCTCTTTCACGACCGGCCTGTCCTCCTCCTGAACAAACTCCTGGCGCCCGCACACGTCACCCTCGCCAGCCGGCGCGGCCGCGGCGGCGCCCCCTTTGCGGTACCCCGCACCACCCCCGACGCCGATGCGGCCGGCGACGCCGCGCCCCTCCTCGTGGCCACCCTGCAGTGGCGCTTCATAACCCTCGTAGGCCGCTGCGCCGCCTTCTGGGGCCGCGCCGCCCATGCCTGCCTCCGCAGCGGCGGCGCCGCGCCCCTCCTCCTCTCCACGACGAACCTCCTCTCGCACCCCTCCCACTACGCCGCTGCGGCCCTCAAACGGGCCCCCCTCGGCCCCCCAGGGCCGCCCCTCCTCGTACCCGTACCCGCCGTCCCCTTGGCCAGGCTCGTAGTAGTCCTCACGCATGCGTCCCCCCATCGGGCTGAACTCCCCAGGTAGCTCCCCCTCAGCCCCCGCGGCCCCAGGCGCCGCCGGCATCGCCGGCGCCCCGCCGGCTGCTGCAGCGGGCGCCCCGAGGCGCTGTGTGGTGGAGAGGGCGACGTCGGCGGCGCCGGCGGGGGGCGTGGCGGCGCGCTCGAGGCCGGAGACGTCGGGGCGGGCGTAGGTTTCCAGGGGCTGCGCGGTCGCGCGGTGCGCGTGGACCTACGGTGATACGTGGGGGGCGTGCATGGGGGAGGGGCGCGGGGATGGCGAGCATTCAAGAGGGTTGGAGGGTGTTCGGTGCATGACAAGGGTGTTGAGGGCGTTGGGTGGGATGGGGTGGGGTCGGGCGGCGCGAAACGGTGTTGGCGTTGTGCATGCAGTTTTGCGGCCGCCTGACGGGTCGCACAAGGAGCACGGCAGGTACGCTCCTCCAAGCACACGAGATAGAGGGTCCCTGCTGTTCCCTGGGCACTTGGGTGCCCACAATGTGGATGGGGATCACCCGCCCCAGCACCACCTGCTGGCGATGCTGGGGCAGTCCCCCCTGCAGCCAACCCTTTGCCTCCGGCCCGGGGCATGCATGCCTTGCACAATGCTGCGACGAAAAGCTACGGCGTTGATGATGAAACAATCACCAGCAGCAATACTCCATAATAAGCCGGCGACGCCTCGCACCCCTGGCGGTGCTCATGTTCACAACTCTTCCACATGGTCCCTCGCCCCCCCCCCCCAAAAGCAAATCAAGAATCCACCACCAACACCCTCAACGGCGCGGCTCACGTGCTCCGGCATCAGTAGGGCGCGAGCGGGGCCCTGGGTGGGGCGCATGAGGTCGACGCCCTGGGGTTCAGGGCAGCAGGGTTGGGTTGGCATTGGGGTGGGCGGCAACACGGGCAGTGCCACGTCAGCATTGCCATGTCAGCAAGAGGGGGGGGAGGGGGCCGGGGAGAGGTTTGTGCTGAGACAAATAAAGATGCTTCGTCCGCCCGGCACCTATGAGCATCCATACACACACGTGCTGCTGAAGTTGGGAAGCTGCATGCCACATAGGAACCGCCCCAGCGCTGGCCCAAACCTGTCCTTTCAAGGCCCTGCGCGCTCACCTTTGGCAGTGCGCCGGCGAGGTCCACGTTTTCAGCCAGGGCGCCGGGCGGCACGCCGGGCAGGCGCCGCTCCGGGAAGGAGGGCAGGGGCTGCTTGGTCTTGTGCATGCCCACCACGCCCAGCTGGCGGGGGTAGGGTGATTGGGGGTTTTAGTGTGATGAGGGTCGGCAGGGTATAGTGTTGATGCTGTGCAGGGGCGGGCTGGGAGGGATCACTTTGCTGCTGTGTTTTGGTGTGCAGGGATCTCTCTGCTGCTGTTTTATGCTCACCACAGGCAGCAGAGTGATCCCTGTACGGTGCGCGTGGATCAAGGAGCCGACGTGAGTTGTTACGGCTGTGTCTGATGCGCAAGGTCGCGCTGGAGAGCGGGGTCTAAACTATGCCAGTGTGCTGCAACAACAAAGTGCTGTGGGGAGCGCAGGAGTGCGTTGCGTTTGTGCGGTCCAGACGTGCCTCCGCAGGGGTCTGTATGGGGGCTCCTCTTTCCTTTTTTCACGTTTGTTTTTGGGTGCGTGGAGACCACTCTCAGTCCGCAGGCAGGGCGCTGCACCCCCCATCCCCATGCAAGTTGGTTTAGTCAACATTAATGCACAAGACCCTACAGCGATCCGTAGAAAACACCAAGCCCGAGCTCCCTCATACACGTGCCATGGACGCTCGCACACACGCGTGCATTCGCGCCCCCACACTCCTCCGCAACCCCAACTTCCGCCCATGCGCCCCACACGCACCCACTCGTAAGCACACCTGCAGCGCCTCTTTTGTGGCGACGAGGCTCCCCACCGCGTAGCTCTTGAGCCAGGACGCGTCGATGGCCAGGCCGCGCAGCTGCCCGCCCACCAGGCGCTCTTGCTCCCTGAAGGCGGCCAGGGCGGCTGGCGGCGCGGCGGGAGGGGGGCCGACAGGGTGTGGTGGAGGAAGGTGATGGTCATGCGTGGTGTGTTTGACACATGCGTGGCGCTGGCCCCAGCAGATTTTTTGTACGAATTGCACCAATGCTTTGAGCATCAAGGCAAAGTAGGAGGTCAGGCACGTCATCCCCACGAGCATGCGAGGGGTGACACTGGCTCCACAGGGCCTTGCAAGTTTGGCGAGTGCCAGGGCGGACAGGGTCCAAGCGTTTATAGGTTCATCATGTGAGCCTCTCCCCCGTGGTACCCTGAATTGCAGCTGTGCACCCCAAAGTGCCCACAGAAGGCCCCCCGTTAGACCGAGTCACCCGAACTAAGGGTCACCCCGCTATGCGAGCGGTCTCCTTCTTCCCTACTCCCCCAATGAAACAACCCTCGACCCTCCCCATCCCCGCCTTCTACCCCCCACCACCTCTGGCACACTTCGAACTCTGATATCACCACCCAGCCGTGGCCACCCACCATCAAACTTGCGCTGCTGGTGGGCCACTTTGACGTGCGCGCGCTCGTGGCGCAGGCTGCGCCGCACCGACGGCTCGAGCTCAATTAGGGCGCCGCCGCGGTAGCCCTCCCCCTCCTCGTCCTCGTCATCGTAGCCGGGGTAGCTGCGGGGGCGGCGAGCGGCGGATGTGTGTTGGGGCGGTATTGTGCATGCTGCTATGTTGATGTACATTGCCAGGCGTTTAGCAGGTGTTGTGTATTTTGGGGTGGGCACAGGGGGGTTGCCAGGGGACTGCTGTTGTCAAGTGAACAAACAGAGGTTGGGCCAGAACAATGCTGATGACCCCTGGAGTGTGAAGGCAACTTGCAGGAAAATCCAGCAGGGTTGCGTGAGGGGTGGCACTGCCGTAAAATCAGACAACCCCGGCATCGACGCAGCCCGCATAAACCCCTCCCACTCCCAACTAACTCACGTGAAGCACGCCAGGAGCGGGTTGCGCGCCCGCCGCGCCCCTCGCGCGCCGCCGACGCCCCCGACCCC